CTCTCGATCAGATAGTACAGAAGAAAAAACATGCTGATGGATTCCATCAAAAAATTCCATCAAAAATCTCTAAGAGAAATGTAAGGAACACAATGAAAGAGGAAATAAACAACCCTGGTGTTACAGCTTATATCTGGACATCATGCACTCATGGGTAGGGCATCATGGAGATGAATGGGCCCTAGAAGTGTGATGCTCATCACTGGATTAGTCCGCAAACAAGTTTACAGCTAAATATGATATTGAGACGAGGTAGGTCACTGAGGTTGTGGCCAGAAAGATATAGTACCTCTCTTTTTCATCCTTTGATCTCCCACTGCTTCCTGTCTGCCATGCCATGAGCAAGTCTCCTTTCTCATGCTGTCCTGCCTTGGAGCCAGCTGATGCTGTCCTGAAACCTCTAGAAACTGTCAACAAAACGAACCTCTTCTCCTTCCAGTTGTGGGCATCAAGTATTATATCCCAGCAATGAGAAAGTAACTAAGACAACTGGAAAAAGTCTACAAAATTACTTCTTTCTTAAAGGAGAAAGTTGCAGGACCAGAGCCAAAACAAAAAGCGCTGCCAGGATTTGCTGGGTGAGGCTATAATCACTGGCATTCTACCGTAAGTTCTCTCAATTTACCTCCATTTCTACTCCTTACTTTTGAAGGGCAACTTCAAAGTGGGGATATTATTGTTACAGTATAGGACTCAAATGTCACGAAAATTTTAGGTAGGATCAGGTTAAGTAAGTGAAAGTATTGAAGAACACTAACTAAGCAAATGCAATAATTTTGCTTTCTCTAATTGGAAGTACTTAATCAGCAACAATTGTGAAGACAGGTGAGAGATGGGAAAGAAATGTTAGAATGGTAATTTCTCATAGCATAAATCAATACATGATATTTAAAACTGAACATGTGGGTAAAGAAACATGAAATGATTCCATCATATTATGGGTTTTCATAATCTTTTCTTTCCACCTCCAAATGATCTTTAAACAATTAGAAACATTTAGCCAATTTTGAATAAACATTCCATTTCACATCAAACAATTATGTTACTGTTAAATTCAATTAAATTTAATATTCATATGAGTGAGAAAATTATGATCTCATCATAAGTTATTTTTGTTCACCATGCTCTCTGAATACGGCCAGATATGAATATAAGTAGCTTTATGCTCACAGAAGTTTCTAGTTTGATGCTCACAGAATTTCATTTCTAGAAACTTCTCAATAGTGAAGTTAGGATGATTTGTTGTTTTCTTCTCTATTATTTTCTGCATTAATTAGCTTTTTACAGTGAGTATGTATTATTTATAAAATAGTTTTTAAAGTAAATTAAAATAAAATTGAGAAACCAAGTTATTCCACCATTAACTCTAACTAATCAACAGTCAGCTATGGTTAATTATGTCATTTTAGGAAGGTACATGAATTAAGGAAAAATTAATTATTTTAATAAAAACTATTTTACTAGATATTAATATTTGTAATACATAAGACTAAAGACAAGGAAAGATATTCTATGCTATGCCATAAATAAATATAGGTGACATGTCCAAGAACCCATAATTCCTATATTTAATGAGACTAACCATAACAGAAAAATAAATAAAATTTAAAACTTCTCATCAAGTGACACAATTTTGATAAAAAAAAAAAGCCACAGATTGGAGAAAATATCAGCATATAGACATCTGGCAAATACTTGTATCAAAAATATGGAAAGAAATCACAAATAAAAAGACCAATACTCCAACAAAAACAACAGACAAGACTTGTACATAACCATTCACATAGACATCCAAGTAGCTGTTAAGTATATAAAAATATGTGTATGTGTACTCATCTGGGAAATGCAAATTCAAAGTACAATAAGAGGCAACAATTAACCAACTAAAATGATGAAAATTTATTTTTTTTTAATTTTTTTTGTCTTTTTCGTTTTTATCGGTACCAGGGATCGAACTCACGACCGCACACTTGCAAGGAAGGCGCTTATGCCGCTGAGCTAAATCCCCAGCCCCAATGATGAAAATTTAAAAGGCTCATATTGTCAAGACTAGGTGAAAATAAAGTTCTCATACATTCTTGGTAAACAATAAATTGTTACCATTTGGGTAACAAGCTACGAATGCTAAACCTTTCTGAACTGCGACTCATCAACTCCATGCCTAACTATAGCAAAAGAAAGGAGTGTGATTGCCAACATTGCCTCTCTCTCTGACAGGAATGGTGTGAGGATTAAAAAAAGATAACATCAGTAAACACCTATCAAAGTCTCAGTACTCAAAATCAGACTTTATGTCCACTGGCAAGTATGAATCTTATATGATAATACCATAACATAGATTTAGTGGAGGTCAAATATACCTAGCTTATCTTAAATCCCACTAGAAAGACTACTTTATATAAATTTCATTGTGCACCACCATACATTGATGTATGGCCTCTCATGGATAAAAATACCATTACTACTCCATTACAGGAAGAGCACATGTTTTCAAATTTTTTATTTGTAGTGCTGACCTTTCCTCGTATCTTTGATCATCATTCAATTCCTAGGTAGAAATATATATCATCAGTATGAAAAATTCACATATAACAATGTATCTTTTTCTCATCAAACTATTACTATAGTAAGCCCACAGACAATAAAATCACTTTCAACCTCATTTTGCCCCGGCCTTGCTAGTTCACAATAATCCACTGGACTTATTTTGACTGCTCAGCCTACCACTCTCCAGCGTGTGGGCATCCTGCATGGCATTGCCTTCCGGTCCCACCTGAAATATCTGGTCCCGGGAGAAGCCTACTGACTAACAGTCTAACAGACCAGGCTCCACTGTGTACAGTGATGTGGCAAAGCCTCCTACCAAGAGAGAATCCTGGGTTCCAGTCAGTCATCTGACAGCACGGAGTTATGCCAGCAGCTCAGATGCACAGCTGTGCACAGCTGGATAAAATTTCATGTGCCACAAGATATAAGTTGCAATCGTGTGTGCATATTGGCTAGCTAACGGTATCAGCCAGGACTTCACAAGTGATTCTTCCTGAGCAACAGCTGCCTAGAGACCTAGGGAATTTCCCTAAGATGAGGGGAAAAACTTTCTCGAGGGGAAAAACTTTCTCAAGGGGAAGCCCAGCATTGCCTGATTCTCTTTTATCTGCTTTGGCTGTCAAACCAAGATTCGTGCAGATATTTAGAAATATAATAATGGTCTTACGCACAATAATCTGTAGTTAATAACAACCTGTACGTTTATTCTGAGCAGCTTCTTCTTGTATGCAATGAATATTTTCAGTTAATGTTTGATTTTCTCGTTTGACATCTTTAGGAGGGAAACAGTGGACCTCTCCTAGTACCAGTGCCTTCCGCAGTTCCAAAAATGTAGTATGGAACATGACAATCACTATTCACTGGCCAATGAATACCTTCGTTCAAAAAGAAGAGTTGTGAACAGGTGAAAGATATGTAATACCTGGGAGTTATGTTCACTTAATTTTTTTTTCTTTTATTTAAGGAGAAAAAGAAAAAGGGTACAAGTTATACAGAATTTCAGAAAAAATAAACAGTAGGAAATCACTAGTTAATAGATTACATAGTTATCTTAGAAATAGTTGTTCAAGTTACAAAATTAAAGCATATAAAGTGGACATTCAAACAGTGAGACTGGAAACAGTTTTGTTCAATGATCCAACAAAACTCAGTGATATGGTTACCTATCTTATACACTTAAATATACATGCAGTTACATCCTTTAGAGCACTTTCTTTTCCCCTCTTTTATACAATGACAATTGCACATTTTGGGTTTTATTACTCCCACAGTTCTTATTATTTTTTTTTTTTTTGAAGAGAGTAAAACCAAATGTGATTTGCAAGCAGGCGGTTGTGAGTTCGATCCCCGGTACCGATAAAAATGAAAAAGACAGGGGCTGGGGATTTAGCTCAGCGGCATAAGCGCCTGCCTTGCAAGCAGGCAGTCGTGAGTTCGATCCCCGGTACTGATAAAAAGGAAAAAGACAAAAGAAAAAGACAAAAAAAAAATAAAAAACCAAATGTGATATAACAGAACAGAGTCAGTCAAATCAAAAGGATGGACATAATACATAATGTAAAAACAAAATACAAGGTGATCAACAATGGTTACCATAATGCCTCTTGCTATCTTAAAAAGAATTGCCTATATCATCAGTTATAATAAAATTGATGTTCACTTAATTTAATGTATGCAGTATGTAAAACAATGCTTGACACCTACTGAGTGTTCAGTAAATATTATTTGCTTAAATAAAAATCACACAAGTAAAGTAATCATTACTGTGAGTGCTTTCATCAATTTAAGAGTCCTGGATTTGTTACTCAGATGCTAAAATGAATGAAAAATTACCAAGGTGAAACTCTGCTGTGGTTTGCTGGTTACACTGCCCTGTGTGCTGACTGCACAGTCACATGGCAAGTGTTGAACCTTATAATTTACCAATCAGCAACAGTCTTTCACCTAAGCAGTTTTTCATTCATTCATTTACTTTCATTCACCTCAGTAGTTTTTCTTTCATTCATTTTAGCATCCGAGTAACAAATAGAAAAGCCTCAGATATTTTCACATATTCCCAGTTGAATCCAGGACCCTTAAATGAAAGTACGCACAATAATGATGTCTTGGTCATATGAGAGCCCCTTAGAGCAAAACGAGATGTTTATGAATCATGCTCCCTTCTCTCAATGGATGGGAAGAGAATCAATATAATAAGTACAAATAATGTGTTCACCACTTGACCTACTGCTATTGCTAAAAATATTACTTTTCCATGGGGTCATTTTGAAGTTTAGAATTCAGTGTGTTTTGAAGTTTAGGTTGCAATACATTTGTAACTCACTTCTGTTTTACTTTAATAAGCTATTCACCTTCCCGGATTTCCTTCTAAGATCCTACAGATTAGTAAAGAGGAAACTTTTCCTGGAACATGTAAAGAGAAATATTAGGATTATTTCTGGAAGGATACCTACCTCTGGCCCTGTGATGTGCATCAGACCAGAAATAGCCGAGGCCACAGCATCGTAACCAGCACGTTGTGACATGGGACCTGTGTGACCATACCCTAAAACAAGAAATGACACAGTCAGCACCACGCAGGTGCACCAGCACCACTGGACAATAACGTGTCCAGAAACCTTGCAGCGCTGTCTTCCTGTTAAATCTGTTTGATCTCCTGAAGGAGACAGTGAGAATGAATTACTATGTTCTACCCCTAGAAAGTCAACTGCTGATGTGCTGGCCAGATCTCACCTGCTTGAGTTCTTTGGTTGACCTACAGAATGTTTTAAAGTGATTTTATTGAGCTGCCAACAATTAAAAATCAAGGTAACACAGAATATGCAAATGCATGGCTTTTGTTGAAAAAAATAGAAAACACATTCAAAGCTAGGCCCACATTTTAGATGCAACCATCTGAGTTGAAAATCGCTCTCCTGCTTACACAGGGCATGAGTTCTCCAGTTTGCTGCAGTCTCCACCACTCTTTACCCCTCTCAGCTCTTGTACTGAGAGCTACATGAAACTATCTCCAAATGCATTTATCAACCAAAAATTGAACAAATGAAGAGGTGTCCACGCCCACCCATCAGCTCGTTCTGTCAGCCCCTGCAGAACGAAGAGCTCGACTCTACGGCATCCTCCAGATCCCCATCAGACAGACTTTCCCTGATGACCCTGTATAACTGGCACTTTGCAATTTTCATCCCTGTTACCCCTTATATTTGCCTTCACAGCCCTCATCATCAACACATAATATTATTTATTTAGTCCCCTTCTAAAAGGTACACTCCAGAAATTTTTTCAATCAGATTCACTTCTGTACTTCCACCATCTAAAACAGTGTTTAAAAAAACTTTTATTGAAAGAGTAAATGAATGCTGGCTCCTCAAAAAATAATTTTCTAAAGCCAATAATCTATAAAATATAAATGAAGAAATTAAAGTATACGATTAAATGATCTAATCACCAATTAACCTACCCAGATGTATTTAACACCAGGACAATCTTTTTCAGAAATGTAAGTATTTAAAGCAAAAGCATTGGATAAAACCATCATTTATAGAAATAGTTTAAAGGATATATATATCATTATTAATGACAGAAAATGTGTAATGTGTCACCTTATGTTTTAGCATGGAAAATGTCAAGCAAAAATGGAACAAATTTATGAGAAGCCCATCAGCTAACTTCAATAATTATTTATTCACTTGGTCTTCTTGCATATATTTATTTTTAATTAAAACTGCTAAATGGTGGTGAATTAATAAAATCTTTTTTAAAGCCTCCTATGCTTGGATTCAGATAAGACAGTGTTGGCTCCAAATTCAAAAAACAAAATTTGTAAAATTTGAACTATTACTTTTTTAAATCTTAGAAAAGCAAAAATAGGATATGAAGAAAAACATAAAGGAAAATAAAGTAAAAGTCGATGCTTTCTGAGCAGAAATGCAGAAACCCATGCCAAGCGTTTGAGAATGAATTTTGGGGCAACCTATCATGTAGCCAGAAATGGCACCCCAGCCCAGGCTTTGCTTTCTTCAACACAACAGTTTTCAAACCACAAATAGTCCGCACACAGCACAGGCCCCTGGTGCAGAGGAAAGCTGCTGCCATGAGTCAGGGGCTTCCTGGGTGCTCGGGGACCCCCTTTTATCTCAACCAGAAGCCAAGGGAAGGATGCGCTTCCGTTCTCTCAGGGTTGGAAACATCAGTAGGTTCTTGTGGCCTAACCTCAGATCCTTCAGAAGGGTCAAACAGACAGTCTTACCATCAGCACATCTACATGGAGTCTTCTAAATAAAAGGCCTCCAGAAAATATGCTCAGAAAACAACAGTTTACTAAATAAAAGCTCACCAGCATCATTGCTTTGCGATACACATTCCCCCTTTGGTCAGTGTACAAGGAGAAGGCACAAATATCCTAAATACTTTAAATTGCAACTTCCAAGTAGTTCTATTAAAGAGATAAAATAGTTACTCTCACGGCAAGCTTTAGGCATCGTGAAAAAGAGAATGCAAGTTGGGATTAAAAACAATCTGGATTAAAATTATAGCTCTGACAAATATTAAAACTTTGACAAATCTTTGATTTCCCAGACCCTCAGTGTATTTATCTTTAGAATGGAGATATCTGCATTTGTCTCATAGATTTGTATAGAGAACTTAATTTGGTAAGACAGCATAAGTAAAGTATGCTTTATAGAGAGCACTAACTATATATTAATCAATAAATATGAATTAATTAATCACTATACCAACAATATATTTGCCTACATTTTCCACAAAAAAAATTTTTTTTTTTTTTTTTTTTGTCTTTTTCGTTTTTATCGGTACCAGGGATCGAACTCTCGACTGCCTGCTTGCAAGGCAGGCGTTTATGCCGCTGAGCTAAATCCCCAGCCCCTTCCACAGAACATTGACACTAACAAAAAGAAAACTACCTTAAGGTGTACTAAAGTGATGAGAACAGATCTTCTGAGTAGTGAAATTACATTAATAGCGTAAAGTTGATATTTTTGTGTTTAGAAACTTATTCTTGTTCCTCCTACCAAAGAAGCTGACAATGATAGCATTAGTATATTTTTTCTGCAATATGAGTCAAAAATACTACCAATACCATTAACAAATACTCATGTCAATAGAGTTTTAAAGCAGAAAATTGACACCAAAACAGTAGTTAGCTAAGATGACCCTTTCAAGAATGGAGAAAATGTAATTATTTACTAAAGACTTAATAAAGAACTGAAAAATAGATAATCATGGGATCCAAAGTTTTTATTTTATATTTAGCTGTACAGTATCAAAAACAACTTGCTCAAAATTCAAATTAAGGAGGAAAAACTTAAGCATGTCAGTTCTTTATAATGAAGTAAATTGGTGGGGAAAATAAAGGAGGCCGTGGAAAAGAAGACTACTTCCCTCTCTGTCTGTCTGTCTGTCTGTCAGTCTGTGCATGCACATCCCCCTCACCCCTTCCCTCTTTTTCACCTACATTCATTTTAAGGAGCAACCCCGCCATCTTGTGGCTTTTAGGATCACTGAATGTAAGGCAAAATTCTCATTTTAAGAATTGTAAGTAAAAACATGCAGAGAGGAAACTGAAAGAAAAAGATTTCTTATCTCTTAGTACTTCAGGTCCTGAATACCACATGCCCTGGTCTGCCTATTCCTGATTTTGCTCATTTTTCTTCTTAATTCTTCTAACTTCTTGCTTTCCCTCTTTCCTTTAGGAACTCTTAGAAAATAAACACTACCATTGGTGCTCTTGCTTTATGTAACCCCACATATCCCGCAGTACTTAGTAACCTGCCTATTAAATAATTGAAGAGATGCTCCTACTATTAAGGCCCATTCATGCAACCCTGGCCTAAGAATCAAGCTTAAGTCTCTTCAGGTAATCACTGCTTGTATCTATCTGCTCCATGCCAGAGTTCTAGAAAAATCACTGCAGCTATCCTGACAGAGATCAGCTCAAGGATCCCTCTGAGACTTCCAAACGGCCAAGGGTTTCAGGATTGACCTTTTTTGCCTGCTAATAACAAAAAAGAGAACAAAAGAATGTATCTCATCTGGACATTTTCACTAACCTCCTGTTTCTAGTCGCCTATCTAACTCTTTTGCATTCAAAATCGTCCTCTAAAAAATATAAATCAGGGTGCACTATTTTCCTGCCAAGGCTTTCTAGGGACTTTTTCAGTTATTTAAAATAAATTAAGCCTCCCTATTCAGGCTTAAAGAACCCTAGCTAAGTGACGACTTCCAGCTCTCTGGTCTCTGCCCTTCAATGTTCTCACTTCTGTTGACATTCCCTAATAGCCCATATTTGCCCTCTCTCTTCTCATTCTGTATTCTCAATAAAAAATCAAGTCTTTTCCATGGTTCTATATAAGATATTGGTAGCTTCGATACCACAATATTAATAACTATTTATGAAGTTATCATGTATTAGGCACTGCCTTACTTTTCTCATTGCTGAGATAAAATATCTAACACCCAAAATTAAAGGAAGAAAGATTTACTAATCTCCTGGCTTCAAGGCAGGGTGGTAACACAGCAAATGGGCAACAGTTCATGGAGGCAGAAGAGAGAAAAAGCAATGAGAGAGAGAGAGAGAGAGAGAGAGAGAGAGAGAGAGAGAGAGAGCTCTTTCTGTCCCTTATGTTGTATGCAGGCTACCTGCCCTAAAGCAGGTATAGTATTCATTACCCTTAATCCCAGCTTCGGACCATGAATAATCACAAACTCTAGACTCAGCCACCTCTGAAAAGCCCATACCCCATGACCACATGACACAAACCTTAACAGGCACTGTTGGATGTTTTTTAAAAATTAGATCGCTTAATTCACACAACACAATAACCTACATACTGTTATTCTCTTTTTACAACTAAAAAAACTAAGAATTAGAAAGGCTAAGTCACCTACCCAAGAGCACACTAATAGGAAGTAGCAGAGCTGTGATTTGAAGCCAAGTCTGGGTTGTTACATATAAAGGTGTTTATGTGTGTGCCGGTGTTGACATCTCTACCCAAAAGTCCATTGTCCTCCAAGGTGATGGTACCTAAACAGAACCTATCATCCCACCTCAGTCACACTCACATGCCACCAACAAAATCTGTTCCTCCTCCTACATTCATTATTTCCGTGAACACAAACACCACCCACATATTTTCATGATCCACAAACCTAAAATCAGACTGATCTTTTGCTTCTTGTCTGAATCAAACTGATCATTAATTCTGGTTCACTGAATCTGCCAAATGTCTTCCAAATCCAAAAGTTTAGGTAACTTTTACATTCTTCAATAACTTACTTACTACTGCCCAACCTCAGTTAACTTTTAACATGACACAAAGTCCTGTTGGATATCTAATTCTAATCAAGCCATTTCCCTATTAAAATTCTTACTAAATTGTCAACAAGATATAAATAAAAGTAAAAATTCAGCATGATATACGGAATCTTTTGTAATCTACATCCTATCCATTCTGTACATGTTATCTCCTGCTACATCTCCAAAATAACACATATAGCTATTCTCCAAGTATGAGAGACTGTGTAGTT